AATTCCGTTCATATCTATCTATCTATAAAAAAAAAAAAAAGGTATCTAATATGAATGTATAAATGTATCAGTGGAGTGTCATTAAATGCCTCCATGCAGGAAAAAATGTCATCACATTGGATTTATATAACTCTCAAATTTTTGTATTTACTAACCTTAACTTAGTATGGTACAATGTCTAAATATGGTAAGGAATTCGTCTTTGTGGGGCAAACGTCTTAGATGAAATTTTTAATTTGTTGTAAAAAAGAGAAAAAAATGAAAAAAAATGGAAGTACCATACCTACCTGATGACTGGAAATTTTACTAAGAAACATCGATGTCGGGATTTTTTTCGTATAATATCATTAACACCCTAATTTTAATATTATTTTTATATTTTTAATATTGAGCAGTATATATAAAAATATTAAAATAGTTTTATAAATCTTACACACACACATATATATATATATATATATATATATATATATATATATATATATATATATATATATATATATATATATATATATATGTATGTGTATGCGCATGCGTGAAAAGAAATACATATGAACGGAATTATATATATACATAAATATATAAACATATGTGTGTGCGTATTTGTGAAAAGAGATAGATAGATAGATAGATAGATAGATAGATAGATAGATAGATAGATAGATAGATAGATTAGGATAAACAGATATGAATTTATTAAGGTAGATATGTATAGATATATAGATATTAATCGCGGTAGATAAATATAAATAGATTGAGATAGATAAATAGATACATACGTACATAGATATGAATAGATTGAAAAAGATACATATATATGTGAATTGTTTGAGATACATAGATAATGAAAAGACTTAGATAGATAGATAGATAGATAGATTGAGTGATTGATTGATTGACTGATAGTGAAAAGACTGAGATAGATAGATAGATAGATAGATAGATAGATAGATAGATAGATAGATAATGAAAAGACTGAGATAGATAGATAGATAGATAGATAGATAGATAGATAGATAGATAGATAGATAGATAGATAGATATGAATAGACCTAGATAGATAATGCAGAGAGTAAATTACGTCTTCATCCCTTTACCAATATTTTTATGAGATTCGCTTATTAGTTTTCAAGGCCCGAGTCCCGCTGAAGGCCAAGCGAGGTCAGCGATAATTAGCTTAAATCAATAGCATTAGGCAGACTTAGAATCGTTTGGCTCGACTGGCGCGATCCCAACAATCCGCTGCGTCTTTATGAATGAAGGAGGGAGACAAAGTCATCGCTAAAGCCGCACACAGTCCGAAAGCTGGCAAGGAAACCGATAAATTTCCTGCGAATGTCAAGTAGGAGAGGAGGCTGAATGAAAAGAAAATGAATTTCCTCGACGTTAGGTGGTGAATAAAAGTGTCCAACTGAAATGCTGATTTATTCAGGTGGACAAAATGAAGGACAGAGGTCGGAGTGGTACGGGGAATTCTAATAACGCAAGTAATGGTGTATGTCTTGCGGTTTTGGCTGGCTCGGTAATAAAAGCAACGGGTCCGCGTCTTCAGTTCAAGATGCGCAGAGGTATTATCACCCACGTCCCTAACGGACACGGCACATAGAAAAATATTGTCAATACCGAGCAAATCAGTATCTATAAAAGGCAGGATGTCTGTCTGTGTGTGTGTGTGTGTGTGTGTGTGTGTGTGTGTGTGTGTGTTCCTTTATATAGGGGATCGGATTTCTTAAATTTTTCAGCCGATAAAACAAACATCCACTTTTTTTTTCGGCAGATAGTATTTCTTATTGTCTTGCACACTTTTTTCTTTATTTACATTCAGAATGCTTTAAAAATTCCATTTACAAGACAATTCTTTATAATAAATTCTATTCACCAATCGATAGACTCATAACGATTGTAAACAATGTTTTTTGTTTGAATTTGGGTTTGAGCAATTCGTAAAAAAAAAAAAAACTAATTAAGACATGCGTGTCCGTCAACCTTAAACAATAATCTTTGTCAATTTTATTTTTCAGTCTTTATGATGGTCGATACTTGATCTATCTCTTACTGTTACATCCCCGGGTAACGCCGGGCTCTACTGCTAGTATATAGATATTAATCGCGGTAGATAAATATAAATAGATTGAGATATATAAATAGATACATACGTACATAGATATGAATAGATTGAAAAAGATACATATATATGTGAATTGTTTGAGATACATAGATAATGAAAAGACTTAGATAGATAGATAGATAGATAGATAGATAGATAGATAGATAGATAGATAGATTGACTGATAGTGAAAAGACTGAGATAGATAGATAGATAGATAGATAGATAGATAGATAGATAGATAGATTGATTGATTGACTGATAGTGAAAAGACTGAGATAGATAGATAGATAGATAGATAGATAGATAGATAGATAGATAGATAGATAGATAGATAGATAATGAAAAGACTGACATAGATAGATAGATACTCCTTTCGCACTTACCAAGCATCTTATGAATCGATTCGGATCTTTTCTAAGTGATCTCTTTAGTTCAAAGTTGAAATGATAATCCCTCTTCCTGTTGTGACCTCCTGGTCCAGTTTTCCTCTCTACTGATCCCTCTTTTTTTTAGACCTTTTCACCGTTCTCTTGATGGTTCTTGAATGGACTTTGAAGATGTAAGTCATAGTATGTAGGCATGTATCATTACTGAAGACTTGAATGATCTTTTTTCCTCTCACCATTGCTCATTTAGGAAGAAACTGGATTTGTCACAAAGCGATATTGACCCGTTCTCTTTCTTGCTGGATAACTCAAAAGGGTTTTTCAGCGATTCTTACGACAGATGGTTCATGATGGCTAAGCGTCTTATCTGAAAACCTAGAAAAAAGAAACAATTAGTTTAATGCTTTTTTTATAAAAAAAAACAAAAAAAAAACATTTTGTGGGGTGGATGCTTTAACACGATTTGGACAATTTTGCTGTTACACCCGGTATATGGTCTTGTGAACTCTTCTCTGCGGTAACTAGACTCTATGTCATAAAGCTCATTACTAGATTTACAGAAATACGTCATCACTTTAGAGAGTTGAAATGGTTAGTTTTAACAGTAAGTTATATAGTAACAGTTTCTTCTGTCGCACTTCTCGCTTGTGGAACTCTCTCCTGGTTTCTTGATTTCCCGTCTCCACGGCTATGGCCCGCCATACCACTTACATATTAGTGGCAAACCACCCACATTCCCTACATATTCCATCAGCGAGAAGTACCGGGTGCGATGGGTAAATTGCCGCCATTTTATATTTTTAATTTTATGCCCATGCGTTGTTCGCTTTTGATCTCGTTCACTGTACACCGCACCTCAAGTGGAATCTTTTTATATATGATCCATCGGTAAAGATGCAGGTAAAATGACCAACTCTTTGTAGAGCTTCGTTAAGTACCTGTCTCCTCATGCTATCTTCTATCTTTATAAGAGCCAGATCAGGTCGAAAATGAAGAACTGTTGCCATATTTGGACGGGAGCTGCCCGATCCTAACTTTTCTGTCTTGAGAGAGTTCAAGAGCTTTTCGAGTTTTTGTTGGAGAAGAATTATTTTCCATCCTCCAAACTCTATCGCTACTTCCAGGGAAAAATTCTCGGACGAACTATATTCTTTTGTTCCACCACGTCTAACCCTCACGGCTAGATTAAAGCAAACCACTTTCATTCAGTTCCTATTCCATCGGCAAGAAGTAGGTTCCGCTAAAAATAGCTTCTTCCTGGGAACCATGTGGAACAGACTCCCAGAAGGATGTTTCCCTGATTACTACAATCGAAACCTCTTCAAGTCTACGGATAAACCGTTAGCTTCCCGTCTTATCCATAGAAACTACCTCGTAACTTGACCCTCTACATCGAATAGGCCCTAAGCCTTGTACAGTTTGAACCTTACTGTAGAGAATAAAAAAAACCAAAGAAAACTGGTTACATACTATTACCGCTGATCAAACCCCTAACTACCACTGGTCATAATGAACGGATGTCCCCTCGAGGACGCTCCGTGCCTTGAGAGGATATTGGGCCTCAAACTCACACCCAACCTCAAATGGAATTCCTATATACGATCTATTATTAATGATGCAGGTAAAATGAGCGACTCCTTATACCGCTACAGTAAGTACCTGGCTTTTGCTGCGATACTCTACCTTTATCAGATGAGGCCAAAAAATGGCGTTCAGTTGCCATATCTGAGCGAGAGTTGCCCAGAACTCAATTTCCATTCTTGATAGAGTTCGAAAGCATCTCCCAGTCCTTGTTGAAAAAGAATTATTTTCCCGCCTCCATCTCACTCACAGGTGAGATGTGTCGAATCTCTCACTGTTCTATCGCTTCTTCCATGGAAAGTCTTCGGACGCGCTACATTCTTTGGTGCCGTCAGATCTAACCTTCACGGGTGGGACCTGCCATGCCACTTGCATAATAGTGGCAAACCACTCACTTTCCCATCGTATTCCATCAGTGAGAAGTAAGTACCACTGAAACAGCTTCCTGCAAACCCCTGCCCTATGGAACAGGCTCCCTAAGGAATGTTTCCTCGATTGACACATTGTTAACCTGCTCGCAATGATAGATATAGGTTCGATTTACACTAAGTAAAAATGGATAGTCATAGGTCCGTTTTACTCTAGATTCCCAAGGCCCGGTTTACACTAGATTCAGAAAGATAAAATATGTTTGTTTTACACTAGGCTCACTAGCCAATGATAGATATAGGTCTGATTTACACTAGGGTCAAATGGGAGTCATAGGTCCGTTTTACTCTAGAGTCCCAATGGAATACATAGGCCCGGTTTACACTAGATTCAAAAAGATAGAAATGTTTGTTTTACACTAGGCTCACTGGTCAATGGTAGATATAGTCCCGGCTTACACTAGGTTTAAATGGGGATTCATAGGTCCTTTTTACTCTAAAGTCAAAATGGATGACATAGGCCCTGTTTGTACTAAAGTTAACCTCTTTTTTCTCTTTCTATCCATATAAACTACATAATCTCTCTTGGTTTCGTTGAAGATGCTTTAATTGGAAGATTTGTGAGATAGCTAGAAGTTAATTGATAGTAGGACGTGCTTGATTACTGATGTGGATGGTTGGAAAATGTGTGTATGTAAAATAGTTATTCGTTGTGTTTTTTAACGTTGTTGATACGTACCTTTACTTAGGTTGATTGTAACATCAAGGAAATCTACTTCATGCACATATGACTTGATTATAGTGGCCAATGATTCTGCCGATTGAACCACACTTATTGCAAGATCCGAATACAGAGAACTGTTGCCCAGCATGCCACAGGGTCCCTAGACGATCCTCCTCAGGTTTTGAGTTCAAAGTTTTCCGCCTCCTAGACTGGCTTCCACCCAAGGCTATAGAACCAATTCTCTCCTGATATTTATCTGTATCAAGAGGGTAAGAAATGCATTTAAACATTTGACAAGCTTATTTTCACGAAATATAATGAACTTGACTAGAATTCGAAATCGGCTCCCCGATTCCTCAATCCAAGCCGTTATCCACAATGCGTCTTCTGTGGTTAGATTAGATTCTTGCTACTCTATTTTATGTTCCACTGTTTTAACCCTTGTGCTAAACTGGCTGCTACTTTACTTCTCTTTGCATTTATTATTCTTTCTACAGAGTTCACGTTCCATCAGACTATTTCTTTATCTCTCTGCGGAAATAAATAAACGAACATACACGAATATATACGGGTATATATGTTATGCATAGACAGCATAATTGACATGCCCTCTGTTAACGTTCTCTAAAAACCGGTGATGACTAAGTTAGGTTAGTGGGTTTAACTACATTTCAAACCTTTTGCGCGTTATTTAATGTCAACTATATGTTTCACAAAACAAACATCACCGTGCATCATCATGGAAGTGGAAATATATCCGGTTTACAATCGAATCTAAAAAGTAAACATAGGTCTGGCTTGCACCAAATTCAAAAAGGCGCACAGAGGTCGTTTTGACACTACATTAATAAGTAGACATATGTCCAGCTTACACTAGATTCAAAAAGATAGACATAAGTCCGTCTTACAGGGGATTAAAAAAATCAGATATACGTCCAGTTTTTACTAGAGTCGAAAAGGATGACATTGGTCGATTTACACTAGATTAAAAAAAAGAGGAAGATACAGGCCCGATTTGCACTGCATTCGAAAAGGTAAAAATAGGTGAAGTATACACTAGATTACAAAAGATAGATATAGAAAAGGCTTACCCTACATTTAAAAATATAGTCGAAGGACAGGTTTACACAAAAAAGTTTCAAAAAAGTAAATGTCAGTTTTATGCGAGAATGGCAATGGTATATATATATATATATATATATATATATATATATATATATATATATAGGTTCAGTTTGCACTACAGTTAAAAAGTTTGACATAGGTTCGGTTTACATTAGATTTAAAAAGATAGAAATATGTCTGTTTTACACGAGGCTCACCGGTCACTGGTAGATATAGGTCCGGTTTACACTAGGTTTAAATGGGCACTCATGGGTCCGTTTTACTCTAGTGTCCCAATGAAAGACATAGACCCGGTTTAGACTAGATTCGAAAAGATAGAAATATGTCTGTTTTACACGAGGCTCCCCTGGTCAATGGTAGATATATTTCCGGTTTGCACTAACTTCAAATGGGCAGTCCGTTTTACTCTAGAGTCCTAATCGAAGACATAAACCCGGTTTACACTAGATTCAAAAAGGAAAACATAGGTCCGGTTTACACTGGATCAAAATAGGCATAGGTCCGATTTACACTAGAAAATAAAAACGTAGACATAACTACGTTTTACACTAGAATCACAATAATAGACATAGGCCCGCTTTAAACAAGAGTCAAAAAGGTAGACATAGATTCGGTTTACATTAATATCAAAACAGTAGATATAGGTCCGTTTTACACTATTGTCTAAAGGTAAACATAGGTCAAATTTATACTAGAGTCGAAAAGATAGACAGAGCTAAGGTTTACACTAGAATTTAAAATAGAGATCTACGTCCGCTTTACACTCATTAGATTAAAAAAAATATACAGTATTATTGAAAGAGTGACAAGAATAGTATAGACGGTATATAAGATTGTACCGTTTGGATTGTACTCGTAATTGCTATATCCCAAAATTCAAAAACAAACCCTTTACTGCATTAAGCTATTGTCTCGTTGAATAATACTGAACATAGAACATGGGGCCTTAAACGTAATGTTCATAATACCTGCCTGCTGCTGTATCTTCTCCATCTTCTGCGTTGCTGTCGTACTTGAACCTCTTCGCCACTGTTTCCTTTCTCTTACGGTTTCTTTCGTGCTAGACTAATTTCTCTCCCGTATATTACTTATTTATAAGTCTACCATTCGTCCTCGTTTTGAATATTGCTGCAACGTATGTCCTGGTGCCTCTGCTATATATATATAAGGATCCTTGATAAAATCCAAAAAAGAATCTGCAAAGTT